GTTAGTTTTTCTTTCATAAGAAACAGAGGTTGGTGTAAATGGGGAAAAGATTATAAAGTTTACTTTTTTGAAAATGCAATTGACGTGCGGAAGGCGTGTAAATGCCGAAACTTCTGCAGTATGTGAAATTAAACGACGAATAAAAAACTTCAGAATATACAAATTGTGCCCCACACCCACGGCTATTATTTCTGAAAGTTAGTGTACTCTAACTGGCAGTGTCTACTTTTGGTTCGACGGAGAGTTAGCCCCCGTAAGGAAAGTTCATATTAATGAAACGAAGGAAAGCTCATGGTAATGAAACACAGATAGTACCAGTGCCGGACAGAGATAGTCCAAAAAGTATTCGGGAATACAATTACTGAGATACATATGTTTTGAGGCACGAATACAGATACTGAGATACATTTGTATTTTATGCAACGGGATACTCCTGGGATATTCCTTGAAAAACGTCGAAGAAGTATTCAGGAATACAGATACAGACACTTATAAAAATTCATTTGTTCCCAAAAGTTGCTACGCGGGAAGGGTGTAGTTCGTGGCAAATGTGAATAGTAATTTATACTTTTGCACCTCTTTTTTTGCCATTTCATGCACTACCCCTTACCTCGAACTGTTTATTTTATTTATCATTAATGCCGCTAAAAGAACATGTCACCCCCGTTGAACCACATGGTTACAGAACGGTAAAGACTGCGAACCTTGCTTGACAAAAGGCGTCTGCCCGGAATGAATTCTGTTTTGCCACTAGGACGCACCTCAGACTGTCGTCCCATAAGCTCCTTAGTCCCCTATAGTGTGGGAAAATTGTACAACAGGGCCGTACGTTTTCTCCACTCAACTCCTTTACGGCGTTTGCTCTGCTAAATTAGAAAGAGTGGAGGGCTTTGTGAGAGGAGCTGATTTTGTTATTCTTGCAAGGAGCCTTCTTCAAACTACATTGTGTTTTTTAATGTTGGTTACTGAGATGGGTTATGTTGTAGGGAGGGTTCAAATTATGCATTCCGAAGCAACTTGGACCAAACGGGTGTTTTTATCCTTTAAAGTTATCTTAAGAAGGACATCACATTTAACGAGATACAAGGGTCTGGCAAAATATCGCGATACAAGCGATACATTGTAAAGGTATTTTACTACTGAGATACAAATACATCTTTAAAGGTATCTCGATATACAGAGATACAGATACTCAAAAGCATTTATAAGATACAATCGCGATAAGTTTGTATCGTGATACTGCTGAGCCCTGGATAGTACACTTCACATCAACGGCAGAATACTTTTTTCATTATTTTCTACCTTGGTCTTGTCATAGCCTTGATTTTAGTTCCTTTATATTTAGAATTTTTGTCCACCTTGTTGGGAACATAAAGCATGCAGGCCAACTCAGGACAGCATTCGACATTATATTGCTGCTTACCGACAACCACCTCTTAAGCGGCGCATATGACGTTATTTCGAATGTCTCCAGAGCTCTTGAGGTCTCAAAGGTATGTCAAAATACAGCTTAAATATTTAAATAATGCTATCCTTGTTTTGAAGACCGATGCAAGTAGTTAGCCACGTTAGCCAAGTGCAAACACCGTTCCCAAGACTATTTTAAGGCGAAAGCCTAATACTATGTTTCGGTTTCAACTATATGTTGAAACCGAAACTACGGTTCTTCGGCTCTCTATGAGATTGTGTAACATAATTCTCCGTACTAAATTTATTTCTTGACGGCAGTTGGAAACCATCGATCAACGGTGATCGATTAGTTATGGATACGTTCAGGAACGAGTTAAGGCCGACTACGACCTAACGCCACAAGCAGACGTAGCCAATCAAATCAGCGCAAAAAGTGAATAATCGTCATGGCGCTCATGACCTTCGTGCGTTCGCTACGCGGAGAGCAAGTCGTCTGCTTTTTTCTCAGGAGTGGCGATGACGTCAGAACGGCGCCGAGCTCTTATTGGCTGATGGAAACAAATAGTGGGTAGACCTGAATGCTAGATGCCTTGAGGTCCACCCACAATTGTATTCAACCAGCTAATAAGAGCTCGGCATCGTTCTGACGTTACCGCCACTCCTGCCAAGAAGCAGACGACTTGCTCTTCGCATTGCCGTCTGAACTATTGATGCATAGTGAAGTCGCCGCGATCCTGCTGTTCCTTCCGCTTAAACGCTGATAGCGAACCCACAAAGACGACGATCGCCGTGACGAAGGTCTTCTGGCGGTGCTCTTGATGTGGCTCTAATGAAATCGCAACGTCAACTGCGGCCGGAAGTGAAACTGGTTTAGGCGACCGGTGATTGCTGAAAACAAAGATCCACCCGGTCCGGGAGTCAGTACCGAGACCTCTCCAAGACCATAGCGAAGCGCTCTACAAACTGAACTAACCAGGAACTATACAGCGGTCGGTACAGCAAGCGAATGTTACTATAGCGGTCGGTAGAGCAAGCGGATGTTACTTCAGTTCAAGTGAACAAACAGTGCACTCGTCAAACACCTCTTACCGGACGTGGTTATGTACTTCCGATTCTTGCGACAAAACTTCTTTTTCTTTTCTTTTTTGGGTTTTGTTTTTTGGGGGGGGGGGGGGGGGGGCGGGAGAGGAGGGCTCGCCATTCGTTTGAAACATTTCATACGCCGATGTAGTTGGCATTCCTTATGCCCGACGTGAAAATACACGCGTAACATATTTTTTGAAGTACTCAATGAGATGTGTGTTTTTTGTTTCTAGATTTTAAACGTGTGACGGTTAAATTTCAAACTAACACGTACCTTGACTCTGGTGTGTACTAATATCAAACTTTGTTACCTCTATTAGCTGGGCTAATTGTTTCTCGTGTAGGTAACTGGGGTGAAAAGGAAGAGAATTTTCTTACACATGTACTTGCGAGCGGTTATAATACTGCCAGGGGAAGGTCGGAATGAAACAGCCAAAGGACATTTGAGCGATTCTGAAACCAGTTCGCAATCTAAGTTTTGAGCGTCGTGACAGGCGTGCTCTTGTGTGTTACGTCTCAGATGGAAATTAACAACATGTCACGAAGGACTCAAAACACCAATTCACGTGTAAAACCCCTATTTTCTGTAAATATCAGTTTTCCCAATTTTCAAAAATCTTTATTGTATAAAGGCATTGTACACTTCCCGAAGAATGTATGAAGAATATTACGCAATGTAATGTCATAAACAAATAAAAATAATAAAGTATTGCTCGAAAACAATTTGCCACATTGCGGAGTCTTGTCAAGGTGCTCTTAGAACGTTTTAGAAAACCTGCATAACGCATGAGAATGTACTCAAAATTTACAGTATCAGGTAGTATAAATTATAGTTTTTTTCGTGGAATAAAATTTTTAGTTGTTTTATGATTGTATACCACCAACACGCACTAATCGCGAAAAAAAAAAAATGGGACGGGATATTTTGGTTCAGCATTTTTGTTTTTGGTCTACATTTTGTGAGGGCAGAAATTTGGGCTCAAAAGACTGCAACACTTGATATTTCAGAAAAAACTTATTTTTCATTAGCTTAATGGCATAACTAGGCTTCAATGTTGATTTGCGCCTTAAAATAGAAAACATCATGGTCATAAGCATTACAAAAATACCCAAAATTATTTCCAGTTTGAAGAAAAACCTGAAGGCTTTTAGAGTAGTGACATTCTGTAATAGCTCACAAATATCGTTTATAAAGATAAGCACACGAATTAACGAAAGTGCATGCATCGTAACACGACAAAACATTTACGAAATTGACAGAGTTTTTTTCTTTCTTTTTTACACTCCCTCTCAAAATATACACTTACCATTCGAAATGTCCGTCAACGCATTCACGGTACCCACGTTCTTGCTTTCATTCTGTGGAACATTCTGACATCTGGTTTACATTGCTCGCTGTCCAACAGATTTGGCAACGCGAAGAATCTTACTTCCCTGGACATATTAGTTTGAGCGTTGCTCTTGAACACTGCATGTTCCTCTTCATGAACGGCGAAGAGACAATCAAAGTTCTGAAGATGCACCTGCGTATGTATATACAGACTCGTCAACCAAGAAAGGATCAAAGACATCAGACGAAAATAGTTTTCTTAGACACCGTTTCACCAAGTGGCGTTTTTAGCAGTTAGTTCACTGGTTCATAAAACTTCCCTCTTTGACCAACCGCACTCCGCATAGGGGAAGTCAAGGTTCGGGCATAGCAAGCCACTGAGTTTCCATACACGTAGTCGCAAGGATACACTGCACCGTCATTGATAGGTTCACAATGTGATACCACAACTTGCACCCGAAGTTTTTTTGTGTCTAGTTCAACTCAGTTTGGTAGTGTCCAGACGTTTTCTTGTAACGTCCGCTTCACCTTGTGGTTGCGATATGTCACACAGAGGCTGTCTCGTGCTGTCGTAATCTTGGTCTTCTCATGAAAGCTTCAAACATTTCGTGAACGGAGATATCTCGGATTGTGCGAAAGATACATCACTATATTTAAGTATAACTGATCGCCATAAACGTCGGAATTTTGTTGGTTTAAAACATTGTTTTCATATGATGAATACTTCTTTAGGTATAGAAACTTGCCTTATTTGTTCCACAGAATGAAGGTAGTGAAATTTTCCACTACCTTTATTATTTTAAAAACAATCCTAAACAAAACGCTACCTCCAAATTAGTTTAGTTCTGTGTTCTGGCAGGCGATGTATTTTTTTATATATTTTTTTAGTATAGAGGTGTTTAAATAAAAATTCTGACACTATAAGCCCTTGAAATCCACGCAATGTCGTAATATCCGTTGTTAGCCTTGTTTTTGTTTCTTCTGAAGTGACGTTTGCTCTTTTTCATTTATTGTTCTCTAAATTAGAACGCTTGCCCAAGTGCCACGATTTCCTCGGTACCTTCAAGGACAAGAGTGTACGCGGTTCGTTGGTGACCGGATGCAATTCAAGCATGATGATTCACTTTGTCCCTTGCATTCACTCAACGGCCACGGACACGCAAGAGGTGAGGTCGGCTCAAAAGCGATGTCTTCCGGCCCTACAGCGTCGAAACACGGAGAAAACGAACCCCACCACGACACTCAGGCAGATCACCAGGCCGACACCGATGATCCACCAGTACACCTGGACCGTGGCCCTATCGGCGGCGCACAGAAGAGCATCTTCGTCCGCGGCTGACTGCAGCAGTTCCTCCGGAGGGCTCTGTGGGTGAGTTCCGTCGGGCAGCCGTTGCGGGCAGTTGGGCACGCCGTTGCAGACCAGTTCCTTCTTGATGCAGACCATGCTCGTAGCGCAGAGGAACTCGCACTCCTTGCTGAGGGACACCAGGGTGTCCGGTGTCGAAGGGGTCGGGAGGATCTTGACTTGGGTCCACCAGAGAGAGAAGTTGGTGGTGGCTGCGTCCGAGGATCTGAACTCGAGCGGCACCTTCGGAAAAAGGAAAAAGAATTGAACGCATCTAGGTTGTAGCATTCGTACACTCTTAAAAAAAAGGTATCTATATATCCTCCCTAAAGGGAGGAACGGTCTCGTAACCTATGTTCCTCCATAAAGGGAGAAACGTTTGTCCCTAAAGCAGGGGAGAACAGTTCCTCCGTCACATGCATCTCATTATGGCAGCCCCGAATCAAACAAATAGTGCTCAATAAGGTTTAACGAGGACGTTATGTCTCGTGTACGGGACGAAAGGAGCAGCAAATAAGAGCGTAACACAAGCTGTCCTCTAACTGCGTTTATTTCCAAAGCCAGCTTCCCCCTGCAGGCAAAGAGACTTCCGTTTCAAAAGCTGTTGCTCAGTCTTCTCGTCGTCAGCACTGCGATATTAAGCGGAGACAACCGATACCCAGCTACTTCGCGCACTTTACGTTTCACCTCTGCTATTCCTCGAGTCATAATTCCTTAGTCAACCGCACATCACGGAGGAATGGTAAACCAATCCGCTAAACCAAAAGCCGCTCTCAAAAGAACAAACTCGAAGCCGCTGTTGCACAGTAACCAGAAATTATCGAGTAGAGTGAAAGAATGTTAAATGGCTTGCCACCAGATGGCAGGATCAAGCAGAGTAATTGAAAGTAGCTAGTCTAGGCGGCGCTAGGTAACGCCCTATTCATGTTCTACAAAAAATATTTTTATTTGCTTCCGCCATTATTGCGCTTCAGGATCATCGGGACCCTTTATTACACATATATGTATGCACACATTACGCAGACTGCAAACATCAGCTGGACGTATACATTGAGCGCATACACGTACACGGCGCGTACAAACATCAATACAACCCAACACTAACTTTTTTTTTTTTTTTTTTTTTTTATTTATTGCCAGGTTACATATGATACACATATTGATAAAAATAACGTGCCCCGAAACAGCAGAAATTGCTTAACATGGAGGGGTTAAAAGCCTATCAGCCAGGCTTGGCTGAAGGTCGTTGCGATGATTAATTTAAAAGGTTTTAAGCACGGCCAAATCGTCCAGAACTGGTAACCATTCCACATCAGTATTTATCTTTTTATAACATTCTCTTAACCATTTGATAGTTTCAATGAAGTACTCTCGGGGGTTGCGTGCGTCAACATCAGCATGCCGCACCGCCATTCTGCTCTTCCATATGCCGTGGAGCCCCAGGAGCATGATTATGTCGTAGGGCACAGGTTCACGTTCTATTGCTAGGAACCGGATTCCTTGAGGTGACAGGGGGAGCTCTTTCTTTATGGTGCGCTGAAGCACGTCCCAAAAAAGAAGAGCATCCCAGCATCCCAAAAAGACATGCTCGATGCTCTCCGGTTGTTTGCACAAAATACAATTTACCGACCAGTAGAGGTTCATGCCCTTAGCTTCCAAAAAAGTCTTTACTGGCAACGTTTCGCTGTGTAATTTAAAAAAGAAAGTTTTAACCGCCGCTGGTACCATGGCGTTCTTGACTCGCTGTAACACATCACCTCCTGGGGCTCCAGGGCCTATGGCCCTATACGTTGGCATGGGCAACAACGTAGCCACTAGGTCACGCGTCAAATGTTTGCGTGATACACTAGACAAATAGTTCATAGAAAAACGAACGAACAGAAAGCGGCTGGCAGATACAACTTCGCGCAAAAAACCCGACAGAGGTCCGCAACGTACCCGGCAGGACGAAACAACAAATCCCGGTAAAACGTCAAACAGTCTTGTCTGAAAAACGGTTCGAAGAAAAGGATCACGCTGGTCACGGATAAACATAAAGCGTGAGACGAGTTGTCGGACAAATACGTGGCACAGTCCGACACCCCCCGCTTTGGGCTTAAAAAAAAGATTGGTACGGCGACTTCGCTCCCATTGGGATGCCCAAATAAACACTGCAAATACACGGTGAATCCGCTGAATGTTGATTCTCGAACACTGCAGCACTTGGAGGACATACCACAGTTTGGACAGAAGAAACACATTGCACACAGTCGCTCTCGCGAAAATGGACAAGTCCCTCCGTACCCACCTCTCGGCAGTGGCCTTAAGTTTAGCTATTTCTTCTCGCCAGTAATCTGTGGGCTCACGGTAATGTTCCAGAGGAACACCTAGGTACTTTGATGGCGTCCGTGACCAGTGAACATTTCCAAAAACAACTGGAGCAGTCGTCCACTCACCATGCCATAACCCTACGCACTTTGACCAATTCACCGCGCAGGCAGTGACCTCACAAAACCTTTTGATCAATTCAACAGCTTCTAACACACTTTGAGGGTCCGAACAAAAAATGGCAACATCGTCTGCGTATGCCAATATTTTAACGTCACATTCCTGTAGTGTAAAACCCCTAATGTCTTGAGATTGAATGACACAGCGGCAAAAGGGCTCTAGGTAGATTGCGAAAAGCAAGGGTGATAAGGGACATCCCTGCCGTACTGAAGAGCGGACGTTAATCCCCGCACTAACTGTTTTATTAATTACTAGTTTAGTTTTGCAGTTTACATATGCCATCCTTACCCCCTCCAGCAGCACAGATCCAACTCCCACATGTTGTAAAATGGTAAACAGAACATCATGGCACACCCGATCAAATGCTTTTTCAAGATCTATCTGAAGTATAGCTGCTTTCCGATATTCCGCGTCACAGACCTCTAGAACACTTCGAGTAATGTGTATGTTTGTGCCAATGCTACGACCCTTTATCCCACAGGTTTGGTGCGGCCCTACGATTTTCCATATAACATGCTGCAATCTACTGGCTAAAACCTTCATCAGCACTTTATAGTCAACGTTGGCCAGGGTAATTGGTCTGTAATTACTAGTACTACGGAGCTTATCGGCGTCATTACACTTAGGTATCAAGACCGTGTGCGTGCACAAGAAAGAAAGTGGTAATTCTTTTTTCTGATAGGACTGAGAAAAAACCCTATGTAGAACCGGTGCAATTCGCTCTTTAAACTTCTTATAGAAGGCCGTGCTCAAACCATCCGGTCCCGGTGACTTGCCTACGCTTAGGTCATCTATCGCTTTTTCGACTTCTGATAAACTAATCGGATCTTCTAAAAACGTCGTAGTATCGCTATCTAGCTTCGGCTGACTTGGCAAAAATTCCGTATCAAACCCCTTTTCTTTTGGTATTTTCTTTTCAAACAAATGTGTATAAAACTCCACAAAAGCATGCTGAATACTGTCCTGATCTCGAGTTACTGCGCCTCTGTACTCTATTTCTTCAATCCGGTTCCCGCTAGCATACTTTTTTTCCAACGCAAGTGCCCTTTTTGTGGGCGTTTCCCCGGCAATCAAGTTTATCGCACGGGCACGAACGATTGCCCCTTTATATCTGTCTTCATCTATTTTTTCAAGTTTAGCCTTGATAGTGCTTATGTCGTCTTTGAAGGCTCCTGGCGTTCTCTCTTCCTCTACATAAAGCCTTTGTAAATCCTGTCGAAGACCGTTTTCTACCCTTCGCTCTTCCCGCTTAATGTTAGTTGCTCGTTCAATCGCGTCAATCTTCACTTGCTGTTTAAATAGCTCCCATTCCTCGCATATGCTATTTTCCGAAATGTCTTCTAGTCTGCCTAGCTTAGTTTCGATTTTCCCTATCAATTCTTGGTCCTCGAGGAGCTTTGCGTTTAACTTCCACAACTCCCACGAAAAGCTAGTTTGTTTTTTACGCTGACCCAGGGTAAAACTCACCAAACTGTGATCGCTAAACGAGACATGACTGACCGCGAAATCCTTACATTGGGGTACTAAATCCGCTGAAACATATACCCTGTCAAGCCTGGCATGACCTCTGCCTTGGTGATGCGTGTAAAGGACCCGATGTCCCGGTGTTATGCAGGGTGCCAGGTCTTCGAGCCCTTTATCTTGAATCAACTGATTTAAAACTTCGCTAGACCTATCACTATTTCGTCTTTGATTTGTCCGGTCTTCTGGCATACAAACACAATTAAAGTCTCCCAGCAGTATCGTAAATCGGTCACTAATTACAAATCTGTCGATATATTCAAAAAAGGCGCGTCGCTCACTCTCCTCGTTTGGCGCATAAATGCACATAACCCTCCACTTTTGATTTAGGAAAACAAAATCGCAGAGAACAAGCCTTCCTGATTCACACGATACAACGTTCTCTTCGATGAGCCCAGCAGCTCTCCTCAAGAACAGACAACATCCTCCAGATCTACCTACAGCATGGCTGACGCAGACATTATACCTCGACGTAAACGGTTTTACCAGGAACTCGGTCTGACTCTCACTTTCAACCTTCGTCTCCTGAACCGCCAAAACGTCTAGGTCATTCTCTAAGAGAAGGCGACTCAGCTGGCACTGTCGGCGGCGTGCCGCAAGTCCCCTAACGTTAAGGGTCCCTATGCGCAGACCAGACGCTAGTTGTGCCGTTTTTTATAGTGTCAGACCCAGCTTCCGGCGGTTACCCTTTGCGTCATATTATACCAGGGTCACTACTCACTGCGACAGACCCCCGTCGCGGGTCAGCGACGAGGACCGCAGTTTGCTGACATAGCGACCTTTTTTACCTATCAGCTGAAACTCCCCCTCAGACCACTGCTGTACCGGTGCGCCGTTTTTCGGAGACTCGTCGGCCAGTCGCCGTTTCACCTTTGAGGGATCCAGTTCCATGGCTGGCTCACACTCGATGGCTGCCGACTCGGTGCCGGTGCTCCCCATCGCCGTCACAGCCAGTTCATCCGGTGAAGGTTTTCCAGGCGTTGTCGCCTGCCCCTCGTTTTCGTTGGCTTCAGGAGCCGTCACCGTGCGCTTTTCGTCTCGGACTTTCGCCTCCGCTCTCTTGTTGTCTTGACCTTCGACTGTCGCCTTGTCTTGCTGTGCCCTTTCAAATGGCGTCGACGATGTTGCGGCCTCCTCTGCTTCCGCTTCATCCATGATGAGGTCGCATCCCTCGTCGCTCGCTCGGCTGACTACAGCACTCGCGTACGTGCGTGCACAGTCTTGGGCCACATGTC